TAACACGATAAGAAATAAGAAATCATTGGCTCTTTATTTGTTTATTCTAGAGATTTGCAATTTTACAAAACTGCATGAAAGGTCCAAGTTAAAATCATGTATTTATGATTATGCGGTGTACCGCGGGTCAATCCCTAAACTTTAAAAATGATTCATAGTATAATATTTATACATGTATATATGTCACATATTGTTCTAAAATTAATAATCCAACTAAAATCATACAATTTAAATAATTTTGAACATATTCGAAACCAACACAAAAAGTACAATCTAAAAATGATAGAATTTAATCAATAATCAAAATAAAGTAAAGCAAACACAAATAAATTATTCCGCAACGTACAAAGGATTACAAACCCGGTAATTTTCCCCCGTGCTGTAGCGCGGGTCCGAATCTAGTTACTTGTAAAATACACTCACATCATAGCTGGTCACAGTGTAATTTCCCATAAGTTGTGAATTCTTGAATTTAAAATTTAATATTTCTTTCCTTAAAACAAAAATTCCTAAATACATGTTTTACAGCTATATTATGGTCAACTATGTGCCAACAATTTCCAGTTTTAACTTCATATTTATAATTTTGGGTATAAAAAACTGGAGTATCCCAATATACTGACTGAGCTAATTACAGTTACTGTTTTATGTTAATGCTTAAAATAAATCTGAAGGTTTTATTTCTCAAACTTTAAATATTTGTGAGTGTAGGGTATGAAAGAAATAATAATAAGCACTCCCTATCCTTTTTCCTCTTTTCTACAACTTTTTTGTATTTGTCATAATTACAACAGAATCACGAAACGTTTGATATTTCTTTGTCTTTATCTCTTATCCTCGAAGAAGTAAGTGTTCGTATAAACATTTTTTCTGTATGTAATCTATATTGAAAATTTTGGTTAAAGTGTGCGATTAATTGCTAATTTTTTTAATTAATTAGTCAGTTTTGGATACAATCATAATATGACTGTAGAGATTCTTATTACACAACTTCCATCTTAATCATAATCAGTTGTGACCAGAAAAGTACCATATGGACTCTATTGACAAACAAAAATGATTATGTGGCTTGCCTAAAAGTTATACTAATGTAGTACTTAGAAAAAGTTTAGGCTCTTAAACAGTCATTCACTTACTCTTTCGTAGAAAAAAGAAATTATTAGAAAAAGGCGACCAAAACATAGAAAAAAAAGCATATAATCCATTATAGAGAATCCATAACAATTGCAATCATGGTTTAAATTCAAAGAGTGTCCTATATATACATATCATCATCATCAATCATGCCCTTCTTTTTTTTTTAAAAAAAAGCGAGCCTTCTCATTTCTTTAGACACGCTTTAACGATTGAATTGAACACTAGTATTTATTATAGTTTGGCTATAACTTTATCAGAAAGAAGTTTATAAATGAAAAATACATAAGAAAAAAGTAGAGGCTTCATGACTCAATTCATATAATTGGTTCACTCATATCCTTTTCGCATGAGGATATTGCTAATAACATTTATAAATTAATCCGTATAAGATATGACCAAATTTGTAACGACTTGGCTACCTATCCCGTGCCCCCTCTTGAGATCAGGATACCACACTTCTTAGTTGTTACGTTAAACTTGCATAGTCGTGATTCGTGAAGAAAGTGACGTCAATATCGATAGGATGGCCAACAATGCCAAACATATGCATTGCATGCACTAACTTTATTTAGTGGTAATATTGGGCTTAAAAACTCATTCGAACACACATCTCAAGCCCAACTTAGATAAAAGATCGTATTATTACAAATCCAACAAATATACACCGTTAGATATATAGGTCACCCCACAAACCCTAACCGTTAAAACATGCCGTACGTACCCCGGAAACTATATAAACCCAAAAACATCATCTTCAACATCTTCTAGCAATCTTCCCTAGTTTTTTTGTTTCTTTTCTCTCTTTACTCGGAAAGAACAGTTACAGAGGTTAAAGAGACGGCGCCAATTCGCTGTCCGCCTTGTACGAGCTTCAGCTTCGTCTAGGCCCTCCATTTCTCCTACCCTCATTTTAGTTTTTTTTTTTCTTTTATATTTAACTCAGTTTAGCATTTTAAGTAGCAATGGCGGTGAAAGTAACAAAGGCCGAGAAGAAGGTCGTTTATGATTCGAAGCTTTGTCAGCTTCTGAATGAGTACCCTCAGATCCTTGTGGTAGCAGCTGACAATGTTGGATCCACTCAGCTTCAGAACATTCGGAAAGGTTTACGCCGTGATTCGGTTGTACTCATGGGGAAGAACACTATGATGAAGAGATCTGTCAGGATTCATGCTGATGAAACTGGCAATCAAGCTTTCCTCAGTCTCCTTCCTCTTCTTCAGGTTTAATTCATTTCTCTCCTCTTGGGTAGTTGTTTTCATTTTGGATTAAGTATTGGTTTTTTGGTTTGAGTTTATGAGATTTTTTTATATCTCTCTATATAGAGAGTTTGATTTGGTTTGTTGTTGAATTTATGCAACAGGGGAATGTCGGGTTGATCTTCACCAAAGGTGATTTGAAGGAAGTCAGTGAAGAGGTTGCCAAGTACAAGGTTTGTTTTATTGATTAAATATGATGTTATTGTTGTTTTTAAGTTTTAGTATAGTGCAATTATGGATTGATAGTATGGTCGACATTTTTAGCTAGCTTGGAAAGTGAAAGTTTGCATTTTGGGATTTGAAATGTGTTCTTGCTTAAAATGCAGCCACATCCAATAGGGTAATTTAAATCATCTGGTTCATAGAGCTTTGAGGAGACTTCATTTCTAGTTTACCACTGATTGATGATTTGGTTAGTGTATGATCATCCTTGAACCTATTGCTTTAGGTTAATAACCACATTAATAATTGGAGTTAAGAGTGTTCTAGTCTCCTAGGGTCACATTTTGTAGCTCCCTTTCGTATTTTTTTACTGACTGAATATTTATTTTAAACTTAGCCTTTGTAATGTTAATTGATATAAATTCCTTGTCCTGTTTTGGAAAAGGTTGGAGCTCCGGCTCGGGTGGGTTTAGTCACTCCAATTGATGTGGTTGTGCAACCAGGAAACACCGGTCTTGACCCTTCACAGACCTCTTTCTTCCAGGTGCTTAACATTCCTACAAAAATCAACAAAGGCACTGTTGAGATCATAACCCCTGTGGAGCTCATCAAGAAAGGCGACAAAGTCGGTTCATCCGAGGCTGCGCTTTTAGCCAAGCTTGGGATCAGACCGTTCTCTTATGGCCTAGCCGTCGAGTCAGTCTACGATAATGGCTCAGTGTTTAACCCTGAAGTGCTCAACCTCACTGAAGATGACCTTGTTGACAAGTTTGCAGCTGGTGTCTCGATGATCACCGCACTTTCTCTTGCAGCCTCTTACCCAACCTTAGCAGCTGCGCCTCACATGTTCCTCAATGCTTACAAGAATGTTGTTGCTGTTGCCTTTGCTACTGAGTATTCTTTTCCTCGGTCTGAGAATGTGAAAGAGTGCCTAAAGGTTTGTCCTGTCCACTTTTTTTTTGTGTTTCAAATTTATTATGATTGATGAGTCGTGAAAATGTTTGTTAATTGCAAATTTATGGATTAGGATCCAACCAGCTGGTTTGCAGGTAGTACGGCGGCGGCACAGGTTTTAGTAGAGTCTGGTGGAGCTATTGTGGCCGTAGCTGTGGAGGAAGAAGCTGCAGAAGAGTCTGATGAGAACATGGGATTCAATCTGTTCGGTTAAACTAAGCCAGTAGTAGCCTTTCATATTTATTTTTATGTCCCATTCATTACGTTCGAACCTTTTAATTTATTTTTGTTGCATATGTTTATGGACATTTTGTTTCTTCATCAAAAATATGAATTTCTTTTAAGCTCAGTTATACTATGACGTATGAGTTATGTTGACATGTTGTGTATTCTATCTCCATTGTGTCTTTAGTAACTTTTCGTTATTTTGCTGTTCTGTCCATGGTCTTGATATTGTTTTATTATGCTCGCTGAATTTGTCAATTTTTTTGGAGGAGAATGATCTTTTCTATATTATAAATGATGATGAATGCAGGATGCTTGTTTTTGAGTATGTGAATAGCATACTGGTACCAAACAATGGTTACATAGACCTATGCTGCAACTTGGAAATCTCACTTGTTAGGCATGGATGTATTTATTACTGGTACCAAACATGCATAAGTGGTTTGAAACTATTCAACTTTTGTTAAGATGCTTGGTTTTTGAAAGTGGTTATTTACAGGCTTGCTTAGTTTAATGTAAAACCAGGGCCGGCCCAGAGCTAAAGCTCATAAAGCACAGGCCAGCTTATCTTGAATATTTGCGGTTGGTGTTTTAGCTCTATCTTAAAGGTTGCAGTCTTGCTAGGTAGGTATGATTCAAATGGTGGTTTTGAAGTACCAAAACCTCACTTATTATATAATAATAATTCACATCACGCTTTCCTTTACATACATATATCTATAAAACAGCATCAAATTATTAAAAACATGTTCAGAAGACTGCTTAATTAACTTGATCAATCCTTTACAATTAAACAGTTTTTAAAAATAATTAACGGGGATAAGCATGCTTTATAATCTGGTTTGAAACACAAAGGCATGCTTTTTTGTTGATAATTGTCAAAAGAAAGAATAGAAATTCATGAAAATTGGATCAGACCCATTTTCGGCATTCCCATGATAGGAAGGACACAAACATAAGCGTGGGAATTGCGGAGTTGAAAGTGGAATATGTCGTGTCGCTTATATAATATTATAAAGAACGAAAAAAAAAAAAAAAAAAAAAACAACGAGGAATGTGGTGCTTGATTACCGTTAATTAAATCAGCTTTTTGTAAATTTTAGAAGGAAAAATAAAACATTTGGGACTTTTGGTGGATAAGGACTTCATTTTTTTTATTTTTGTGATGGCATAAGTATTATTATTGATTCCAAGTTTGTTGTATACAATTTTATTGTCACATAAAAGTCAAAAAAAGAGTCCGACATCGAAGAAGAAGAGGAAGATGTCTCCCATGTTCCCAAATGGATATACATCGAAAATTTTGTTACGACTTTTAAAAAATATACTTATTATATTATTTGCATCCACAAACGTCATAGTTCTAAGTTCTATCTCGTACGAGATTTCACAATAGTTTTTAAAACTATGATATATGATGGAGAGATCTCACATGGAATGATATATTATTGTTTACCTTCGTTAATTTATGAGTGCAATAATATCCGGAGCAAGTGCGTGAATTTTTTTTGTAAAATACCTATTCAACACAAAAAGTAAATAGAACTTATGAAATAATTTCACGTAAATTTAAGATGATGATATATTATCCTATTTCAGTTCATTATTATGTTTCAATATATAAATTTGGCTATTAATTTTGTTTAAAGAAAATCAAGAATATAAAATAGAGCTAAGAGAAAAAAAAAACAGATAGAAAAATTAAGAATGTCCCATCAGAAGAATTTTATATGTGTGTGTATAATAGTTTGATCTCATCCACATGCAAATATAATTCTCAATTCCTTCCGGCATTTATTGAGGAATTTAGGCACTGTGATGTGTTCCCATACCAAACTTTATCCGAATCATGTCATCTACTAAAAGTTTAACAAATAGCTAAAAATTGCACCCAAGGTAGTATTAAAAATTATTCATACAACTACCAAGGAAATATATACTGTAATTGATTGTTCAGGTATCGTTGTCTGTTGAAGTCTTCGTCTTTTAACTAGTATTTGATATTTTTCGATTGAGTGTAGACAAAAATAGAGCTAGATACTAATGCTTTAGATTAGGCTCAACCAAAAACCTTGAAACTGAGATTTTTGGTTTGGGGATGACATTTACCTTTGTTTCGCAACACCCAAATTGAATTATTCCTAATCATTTTAAATTTATATTATTTAGTTCCTTGATATAGTAAGAAAATAAAAACTGAGGAGGAATGAATGGATAATGGTCGAATAATGCGGCCGGAGACATGCTTCATTCTGAGGAAACCTGTTTTTTTTTATGGGATAGCTAAACCTTTGTTGACTCTTTTTTTAGTATTTTATAATTTTACATTTCCATAATGAGTTTTATCCACACATTACAAGAATATAACCAATTTTGTTTTCCCATTGATACAATTTTATAAAGTAAGAAAGAAAGAAAAAGAAAAACACGAGTATGCACAACTTTATTTTGTTTAGACGAATCCGATGAATTAAGAAACATAGAAATCTCTAAAACAAACGCACTTGATCATTTAACACATATTAAAAAAAAAAGAGAAACCGCAGTGAATACTACTAAACTACTTTAGAAAAGAAAAAAAAAAAAAAAAAAAGAGAGAGAGAAGATATGGAGCCTTTTGGTCTAAGAAAATCCACTTTTTTTCTTTTTCGAATGTAAATCCCCTTTTTCAGATTTTCCAAATACTAGAGAATGCATGTTTTACTCGATAATACAGTAGTTGTCATTTTTCCTTTTACTATAATAAACTCAACGAAGACAACTTTCTTTTTTTTTAATATAAAGTTGATCATTCGTGGTTTTTAAAAAAATTATTGTTGACGGTAATGGTTAGATCGATCTCTCTTGTTTTCTTTCATACTAAGCATATCTTGTTCATTGATTTAGGTGATGTCATTGCTTAGAAATAGAAGAACAAATAAAGACCACATAGAACAACAAATGTGAAGAGAGGTAAATACATTTGAAACATATATATGCCGAATATAGCAACAACTAAGGAAAGAAAAAGAGTGGTAGTTGATGGGATGGATCGACCAAACAAAAGAGGATAAGTATTAAGTAAAACTGGAAAGCCAATGAGAGTTCCAGCTGTCATTGCCACCTTGGGTTCGTGTTTTTGGAACCGTTAACTTTGCTCTGCTCCGACCACGTGGCAGATGAATTACAGATAACAGTTTTTATTTCTTTTGGTCATGGAACCAAGTTGGTGGTCTTGGGTGCGTGATTTGCATTGCACATGACCAAGACGAATCCAAACCTCATTGGCTGCACCACCACAAATGGATGGAAGCCAATGCCCCGATTTAGATATAGACTCCTTTCCTTTTACTTGTTTTTTTTTCTTAATCATTATTAGTTTTTGATATTGATAATTAATTATCGTGTCGAAGACGATGATCAAAGATTATTATTCCAAGTCAAAAATAAGGAAACACACAAGAAACATATATAGTCTGATCATATATCCCAAGTGTACACAGACACAATCACACAGTTGTGTGCGTTGATTTTTTTCCCCCGACTGCGTCAATTACTTAAACGTGAGATACTTAAAATTTGTTTGCTTTTACCCTTTTTTTTTTTGCTTTTTTGTTTTTGTTAGTTTCATTAATAAAACATATGCAAATTGGTCTATTTTTCCTCTGCCACATGATATATATATATATTTTAGTTTTTTCTAGTGGAATATACGATGTCACTAGTTTTTTTTTTTTTTTTTGGTATAAATAACGTTTGGGGAACTAAATTATATGGAAAAAGACTAATGTATATGTGAATAAAGGCGAAATAATAAACTTCTTTATTTAAAAAAGAGTGGGAAAGACTTATCGTAAACGTGAAAGGAATTCTAACAAGTAACACCATCTCTTTTTTCTCTTTTTGATTCTTACTTATACAACCCATCTTATATTATACCATATCCCATTCATTCCGTAACAAGTTATGAATTCTTCTTTTCGCATAATTCTATAACACAAATGATCAACAAAGTAAAAATCTCGGTGTCTTCAAATACGTTTTACAAAAGTTACTATTAAAAAATAGGGGTGAGATATACAGGTTAATTCAAAATTTTCTAACGATATATCGTTATGTGTACGTGAAATCATACTATACTATACAAGTCCAAATCCTATGAGACGTGATAATTTAAAAGTTAAACATAGAGCAAAAAAAGGGGGAAATATATTAATATTATAAAAATTATTTGACCATAGATATAACGTTTGTAAGAGTATTTGTATAATCAAATATGGACCAGTGGTTGCTTGTTTTATATGATCATATCATATTGATGGTTTACAAAAAGAAGAGATTACTGATATCCAAAATGGAATATATTGCGAGTCTTTATCTATCACTAACCGCATATGTGGATGATATATATTCTTTTTTTATTATTATTGCACTAATTAATTACTTTATTTCAAACTTATTTATTAGTTATTTGAATTCAAAGTTAAGGAATGACTGAACGAGGAAGCATCCAAGGAAAGATACAACACGCAGACGATCTACAAACTTCTTCGCATACTTTTCATATGTTTTTTTTTTTGGGTTTAAAATGTAATAATAGCAAAGCGTGGTACGTATAACGCTGTATTAAATAATATGAATAGTAGAATATATAAAGTGTATGTGTGACAGATAATTCTTAAAAATTTTGGTTTTTAGTTGAATTTGTTTAAAAGGAGGATATATGTATGTTGAATAGATAATTTCTTTAATTTTATTTTTAAGTTGTAGATGACTAATGTTTTAGTTTATTTTATTAAGTAACATGTGATTATCACCGATACGAATCAATATATTAACCAGCTAGACGTCTTCACTTTAAAGCTAACATAAAACAACCGAATCTAACTTTTTTTTAGCATATCTATGGGTTTTCAGAAATGTTTGTGGTTGTAAAATATAACGTTTCGATTACTGTATAAACATTTTTCGTGTAAAATGGATTGCAAAACAATACGAATTAAAATATACGTGGTTATTTCGTTAACACAAAGTATTAAATGGAAACTGTTCAAAAAAGCTGTGAGGATTGGAAAGAATGGGTAGAGGCGCAAGTAGTAGAGAAAGAGGATGAGAATGGTGAGAGTAGTGATGATCAGCCAAGGCGGGTTTCCCAAAACTGTGGAACTGATCATTTGTTGAAAAGGTGGAAGAGACCACCTAAAGAGTGGTTGAAATGTAACGTTGGTGTCTCTTGGTCCAGTAGAAACAGATTGGCTGGGGCGTCGTGGGTTTTAAGAGACTATGAAGGCAATGTGGTGCTTAATAGTCGTTGTGCTCTTGTTTCGGTGATGGACAAAAAAGATGCTCAGTTTAAAGCATTGATATGGGCAATTGAGAGTATGAAATCCCATAGAGTGGAGAAGGTGGTTTTTGGTCTGGAGGATGCATGTTTAGTAAAGGTTCTTGCTAAACCAAGTGTGTGGCCTTCTTTTAGATTTCAGTCAATGGAGGTGGGTCGTCTTAGAGGATCGTTTAGGGACTGGAAATTCTTTTTGGAAAACTCATTTTCAAACAGAGGGGCGTTCTTTATCGCGCAAAGTGTTACCAGTGATTGCAGGCTTCAATCTTATGTGGCTAGGGGCCATCCTTCTTGGTTGCGAGGTTTATTTGCCGAGGAAATGGTTTCTTCCTCTGTTTGAATTTTAGTTTTTATCTAACTATGCTCTTTGTTTGGAGCTGCTTTTTTTGGATACCTCTCTCGTTGTGTTGAGATGGTTAGTTAGTAGTTGCAGGTTTTTTGGTTTAGGCTCAGCATTTGTTTTGTGGTATCTGACTTTCTGGGTTGTAATCGTTGGTTTAATTCCATCAATATAATACCAGTCGACAAAAAAAAAAAAAAAAAAAAAAAGGCTATGGTCCTATGGACCACTAATTTTTTTCGAGACCACAATTATTTGTTTATAATCCACTTGTCAAATTTATAACCGACGAATGGTTTGTCTCCAACCGTTTCCAACTGATTTAATTATATTAATAAAATTTACGTCTACCCTTCAGTTTATCAAAGTTTTTGTCACAAAATATTTGTAATATGCACTTACTTACACAGATTCGTTGAATTCTCATACTTTAGCTGTCGTATTCAACCAAAAAATTGTATATCATATATAACAAATAAAATTGGACAAATGGAATATATAATTCAAAGAAAATAGAATAATCAAAGTAAATATAAATATCAATACAGTACGCAGAATTAATAGAATAAAATTATTACAATATTGTGAAGCAAAAAAATACCAATATAGGCGACTGAAAGAAAACAAATAACATAAGTATAATTTGAAATAGTAAAATAAATTATACTAGCTCTTTTTTCGTATCAAAAATCTCTCCGACTTCACATGCAGAAGGAGTTCTACAAATTCTAATTTAGTTAAACACTACTACTAGGTTCGCTCTGTTGACAACATGGACAACACATCTTACGTATGTAAGAGCCATACAGACACAAAACCAGAACCACGATGCAAAAGCCCGTGAATGTGCCGATGAATTCTGATAGTAAATCTATTACGACCTTCATCTTCTTCGATCTTCACCAACACTACCAATTTCTCTAGTCCTCCTAAACTTTGTTTTTCTTTTTTTTTGTCGTATACATATTCATACTTATATACATGTATTGTCGACACTAAGTTTACATTTTTGTAAACACATCAACAATATTTGGTAAGTTTACAATTTTTTCATTAAGGAACATAAATTACATAAAAATCAAAATTTTACATTTTGATCATTATACATCAGCAACATTTGGTAAATTTACATTATTCTTTTTTCATCAAGGAACATAAACTAGGAAAAATTAGAAATTTTACATTTAGGATTTATTCAAAAAATCGTAATTAGAGAAAAATCAAAATTTTACATTTTGGTAATTATACATCAGCAACATTTGGTAAATGTACATTGTTTTTTTTTTCATTAAGGAACATAAACTAGGGAAATTTTCAAAATTTTACATTTAGGATTTATTCAAAAAAATTACATTATTAATAAATACGAACTAGGGAAAATTGGAAATGTTTAGATTTATGGTGTTTTATTGATTGTCACATCGTAAGATTCTTTCTAAACTACTCCAAAGAGTGAGATTATGAAATTTACTACTAGTAAAGATATTCCTCTTTTTAGATATGTATTCTATGTGAATATCTCTATGATTATGTTAATGTATTTGTAATAATCAATATGGACCGGTAGTTGCTTATTTGTTTGTCATATGATCATATATTAAATTGATGGTCTACATAGAAAGACGATATCGTTGGTATCTAAATGGACGAATAAATTGCTAGTAATTATCTATCAATAACCAAATACGTGGTCGTGGATGAGATATATTCTTTTATATATGCACTAAATTATATTTTTTCCCTCAAAGAATGACTTATTTTAATTCAGTCATTTAATCACCGATATGACTGTTGAATGAGTATACATATATTAACCAACCAACGGTTTAGGATCGGATAGATAAAACATCGTCACTTCAAAGCTCAATATGTAGATCTATATATGTATGGCCTTGATTAAAACTTAAAAGAGGTTGGACGACGGCTTGGATTAGAGCAACCGCAATTAAAATATAAGTAGCTGTTTTGAAATAGACTTAAAAAAAACATAAATTAATAAATTTTGAATGGTTATGGACCACTAATTTGTTTTTGAGACCATTTTAATCATTCGTTTATGATAGCAATCAACTTGTCTAATTTATAACCGAATAAATGGTCTGTCTCCACTCGAACCGTTTTCCAACTGAGACTACTAAATAATCAAATTCAATATCCTCAAGTTTTTTTACCGGTAAAAGTAAAGCGAAACATATCAATCAAAAGGTTTGGTCACAAAAAATTATAGTGCATGCACATAAAACCATATTCGGTGAAATCTCTCATACATTAGCAAGTCTTATTCAACCAAAAAAAAAAATTATCAACTATATTTAGGTGAGATGGAATATAGAACTCGAAGAAGAAAAAAAAACCAAAGTCAAAGGAAAAGACAGCTTTCCAAGTAGTTTAACTATTAGAAAGAAAGAAAGAAATGGAGAGACCAAACTCCAACCTTCACTTTCACGCATATTTGGATAAGCTTTGCATATATAATATCTAAATTCGTCCTACTTCTCTCCATGTGCCATCCCTTTGTTTACCTTTATTTATTTTCAATTCATACCATAACCATACCATACCACGGCACCGTCTAAATGCTTATCCACCACACTAACATAAAATAGTCCCTTATCGTAATTCGTATGCTTTTATTTCATTATCTTTTTTTTTTTTATCGGTTTCTAGACTTATCATTATTATATAATTCTCCGCGTTTGAAATATCATCACTAGTTTAACAAGCAATTATATGTCACAACCAACAAAATGGCGGACGATACACTTTTTCTAGTATCTACACTTTTTTCCGTATTTTATATTTGTGTTACAACTCTTACTTGCAAGTACAACCCTAATCTTGTTGAGCTTATAAATAGAGTTTCTAAAGACTTTTGTAGGGAAACAAATGTTCATATCTAATTAGAGAAAGTCGAAGAAGAATGTTTTTCCTATACAGTATATGTTTTGATGTTCAAGTTTCGAGTCACTCATTATAGAAATCAAAACAAAACTTAAGTTTTCCTTGGTGTTGTTATTAGAATATAGTGCCATATAGGTTTATCATGGTGTTTTTTCTTCATTTGCCCGTCAATTACGCTACTCAAGAATTTTCATTTCGTTTTGTTTGCTTTATAAATATATTATTTTCCTTACATATTTTGCATTTCTACGATCAATGAAAAACATTATTGCCTTTTTTTATGTGGTACATGACATCTGTATATGTTTTGCGATTGTTCAGATAATATTAAAAAACACACTATGTGCATGATTAGTTGAACTTTGTAGCTGTGTAGTAAGATCTATTACTACAACATTATTTTAATTAGTTTTTTTTCTTGCTTTGAACAAAACCTAATTACAGCTTGTAACTATTGTTATATGAACAAACAATTAATAGAAATGTACTGAGGGTTTTAGTGTGATCTACTCATAAATGGCAACCCATAACGTATGATCGACTTTAAAAATGTAAACTAGAGAATGATTTTACATTTATTATCAATGAATCCCTAAATGTACATACATCGCAGATATCAAATGCAAATATTCTTTATCTCTTCCCTTGAAAGGAAAATAAAATATAATCACTTACCAAAACGAGAAAATATTCGATTTTATAATGGGAAACCGTACAAACAAAAAGCAATAAATCGAAATTTACATCAAATACAATTATAGAGATTAATTAATCTTTACACATAAATCCAAAAAAAAGAAAAAGATTATCCTGAAATTAATCCACAGTCCCACGACTGAGTTGGTTCGTCCATTAAACAAAAAAAAAAAGAGACCGCGTCTCTCAACGCTGACTTTCAAATTGTAGTCGCGTCGGTATAATTCCACACGCCTTTTGTATTTCTTTTCTCTCTCACCAGTCACCACCACCACCTTATCCACATTTCTCTATATATATACCTCTCCTCGTATCCTTCTTTAACTCATTCCATACCAAAAAGTATACCAAATTCAAAATTCAACACACACAATAACCAAAAAAAACTAAAGAGATTGAAGAAAATGGTTGATATGGATTGGAAGAGGAAGATGGTATCATCTGATATACCAAACTCACCTAAGCTTTCTTCAAAGCTCCACGTCACTATCCCTTCACCTTTCAAAGTCCTCCCTGTTTCTTCTCCCATCTCTTCTTCCGCTCCTCCCCTCTGCTCTGCTTACGAGCTTTACCTTCGTCTCCCTGAGCTCCGAACCCTCTGGTCCTCTCGTGATTTCCCTCTCTGGACCTCTGAGCCTATTCTCAAACCGGCTCTCCAAGCTCTGGAGATCAGTTTCAGATTACTCTTCGCCGTTTCTTCTGATACTCGACCCTACGTCAACCACCGTGAATGGAACCGTAGGCTCGATTCTCTCCTCACGAATCAGATCCAGCTTTTGGCAGCGATCTGCGAGGAAGAGGACGATGAAGAAGCGGCTCCGGTAGGCGATGGACGGAGTTCTTTGAGTTTGTTACCGCAGCTAGCTACGTGGAGGAGATCCGAGGCTCTAGGGAAGAAGATCTTATGCACGATCGATAACGAGATGCGTCGGTGTAAGTACACGCTCGGACTCGGCGAACAGAACATCGCCGGCAAACCGAATCTCCGGTACGATGCGATTTGCCGGCCTAACGAGCTTTACAGCCTCAAGGACAACCCATACGCCGATCACATCGATAACCAAGAGAATCAAACGCTCTACATCATTCACCAGATCCTCGAATCGTGGATCTACGCATCTGGAAACCTCCTGAATCGGATCGTCTCCGGCATCGAAGACGGGAAATTCAAAAAAGCTTCCAACGATGTGTACTTGCTCGAGAGGATCTGGAAGCTTCTAGCGGAGATTGAAGATCTTCACATGTTGATGGATCCTGAAGATTTTTTGAAACTGAAGAAACAGTTACAGATCAAATCGACGGGAAAAAACGACGCCTTCTGTTTCAGATCTAAAGGGTTAGTGGAGGTGATGAAGATGTCGAAAGATCTCAGGCAGAAGGTTCCGGCGGTGTTGGCGGTTGAGGTAGATCCCACCGGAGGACCGAGATTGCAAGAGGCGGCGATGAAGCTGTACTCGAGGAAGGGAGAGTGCGATAAGATCCATCTGCTTCAGGGGATGCAAGCCGTGGAAGCTGCGGCGAAGAGTTTCTTCTTCTCGTATAGGCAGCTAGTGGCTGCGATGATGGGAAGCGCCGAGACGAACGCCACAGCGAGTCATGAGCCGTATGACTCACTGAGTCAGATATTCATGGAGCCGACGTATTACCCGAGTCTTGACGCGGCAAAGACGTTTCTCGGAGAGTTCTGGAGTCATTTGGGATGATTATAATTTTTTATAATTTCCGCTGGTCTATTTTTTTAAAAAAATTAATATAAATTAAAATTGGTTGGTTTGGTTAATTTTAGTTTGTAAGATACAGAAAATTTTGGAACATTTGATGATCGATATTTGAATACAAATTCATTTTATATGATTTATGATATTTTTTCCACAAGCGATAACATTTTTACAAATATCGTAATCCATACTTGAGTTGTTGTTCCCCAAGTCGTAATGGGTGGTCTACTAACGAGTAACGACTAATCTAAGCTCTGACTAATCGTCAACAAATCAGCACCTATCCTTTTAGTAGTGTATGGGGAAACACACAATTTCACTATCATGGTACAATATTATTCGAAGTCCAAAGATAAAGAAATTATGAAACCACTTAACAAGGTTATTGAGACAGTCGTGAGTCCAAGAAAAACATATAATGGGCCTTTTGTTGGCCCATTAATACCTAACCTATCTCTTCTGTATCACATACCTTCTCCCTCCTTGCTCTTACGCTCACATTGGAAACCCTAAAAATCTCCAGTCTCTCGCGCCTTTTGTTGTTCTCAGAATCTTTAACCATGGCGGCAGCGAGCGATCACACCGTCTTGCAATTCGTGGCTCCTTCATCGACTGCGTCCGCGACTAATACTACTGTACTCACGGCGAGGATCCACCCACTCGTTATCTTCAACGTCTGTGATTGCTTCGTGAGACGTCCTGACTCAGCTGAACGAGTAATCGGCACTCTCCTCGGATCTATCTTACCTGATGGAACTGTCGATATCCGCAATTCATACGCCGTCCCTCACAATGAATCTTCCGATCAGGTTCAGTTTTCATCTCTGTCTCTCCCTCTCGAATTCTCTATCGTTGTTTCAATTAGAAAGTTTTTTTTTTTCGATCTTAGCTGAGGGATTCTAGATCTGCTTAGTGGCTGAAGAGTAGATATGATATTTGAGGTTTATAAAAGAAGTGTAGAGAAATTTAGCTCCCAATACTGTTCCCTCTTACATCTCTCGTCGTTCCATTATGGTTTTGCTAGTGAACATATTGCCAGCTTTCTTCTTTGAAAAACAGATAAAAAATGTTAGCTTTACACCTGAAAGGGCTGGGACTCTTTTGGGATACGTTTTGAGGGTTATTGTTACATGTGGATGCAGGTTGCTGTGGATATTGATTACCACCACAATATGTTAGCTTCACACCTAAAGGTGAATCCAAAGGAAATTATTGTCGGCTGGTACTTCTCATTTCCCACTTTTATTCTCTTAACCCTCATGATTACTCTCATATCTTTGTCACACGATTCTTGTTACTGATTCATTGATTATGTTGGGTCTCTGCATTGGTGGCTTGTTGTTCACATTTTGAAATAGCTAATTGAATAACTCTATTTTATTTGCAGGTATTCAACTGGGGCTGGGGTTAATGGTGGTAGTGCATTGATTCATGACTTCTATGCCAGAGAAGTTACCAACCCAATTCACCTTACTGTGGACACTGGGTTTACAAACGGCGAGGGTACCATAAAAGCTTTTGTGTCTTCAAACCTTTCACTTGGTGATCGACAGCTTGCTGCACAATTTCAAGAGATTCCTGTTGATCTCCGCATGGTTGATGCCGAGAGAGTTGGATGTGAGTATCATAACTTTTTTTATCTTCATATAAAAAGATATTTATACATATTACACACGGCCTCATTGTATAAGTACTTTAGTTTCTGCATGCTCAGTTCAGTATCTAGAGATTCTTTGTCTAATGATTGTGAATGAATGAACTGAATGGATGTTCTTAGCTTGTATCGTTCAGTAGTGTGAACCATTCTATTGCACGATTGGGTATTGATTGGGCTGATTAAGAAAATATCATTTTGATCTGCAGTTGATGTCCTCAAGGCAACAGCTGTTGACAAACTCCCAAATGACTTGGAAGGAATGGAGCTAACAATGGAGAGGCTGTTGACTTTAATCAACGATGTATACAAATATGTTGACAGTGTCGTGGTAAGCTTATGATATTTATAAGTTAAAACAGACGATCTATTATCCACCACAGATGCATAACCTTTTGTTTTAATGAAATTCCACAGGAAGGTCAAACAGATCCAGACAACAACATAGGACGAGTCATTGCAGATGCAGTAGCCTCCCTTCCCAAGTTACCTCCACAAGTATTCGATAACCTCGTGAATGATAGTCTCCAGGTAAAAGATCGTAAAATCCAAGCGGAAGCAAAACACTTCGTAAAAAACTAATGGTTGTTTCTTCTATTGTTGCAGGACCAATTACTTCTGCTGTACTTATCAAGCATAACAAGGACACAGTTGAGTCTAGCGGAGAAGCTAAACACAGCTGCTCAGATGCTGTAATAAGCTTTCGAAACACAAGGTTTTGCTTAAAAGATGTGGAATGCTGCATTTTTTGTTTCAATTTTTCTTTTAACAAGTTTGTGTAAGAATCAGCCTCTTGTTGTAGCTTTCCTAAATTGCAATTTTAAAAGAGACAAAATACTCAGTCTTATGAGTTTGAGAAGCTTGAATCAATTTTAGTCGGTGTCTATTTTTGAACAAGATATAAAAATGAGATATGCTCCCCCTTTTCTTTTCCACTTGTTACGTTGAATCGCAATCAATGGGGAAATTTATTATATGCTGAGATTATACGTGTGCGTAACTGTTGGTTTCTCTTCTTGTGTTACATTGAAAGAGTATAAAAGCTTAGACACAGAAATCAGATAACAGTCAAGCTTAGTCAAAGTTTATTGGTTAACAGTTGACACTAAGTATTACACAATTTAAATCACTTGTTACTACACTAAGTTTTCTTTTACTGCAGATGCTAAAACAAATCAATTCTTCTACCGGTTTAGTTGTCTTTCTGGTGGTCGCCTAAATTTAGAACTACGGTTTGTGTATATTTAAACGGAATACGCCATGCTCTAGAGGATTCAACGAAATCGAACGAGTATTTTGAAGCTTCTATGGTATAGAAAACTGATTACACAAGTTTTTGCCATGGTAACAACAAGAGGAGAATTTGTGTTGAATGAGTTTTGATAGCGTAAATGTTATTGTAGTATACGCATGTGTCTCTCTCAACATGCGTAATGTATTACGATGTATATACAGATCAATTTAGAAGAATATATAAGGTGTAGGCCGGTGTGGTAGATGGGTCAACATTAAAGACGTGCATGCACTTGTAATGTAAGTGAGCAACTTGCACACATTGTTCACAGTAATCTAACTTATCGTTCCGCTTCACCCACCTTCATTCTATGCTCATTGGTCTCCATAGCCTTAGCTTTTCCTTTCTTTACACATTGACGTAGCATCATACGCATTAGCCAGTATTTTAATACTCGAATCTTTTTTTTCTTTCTTTTTCACAGTAGTAGTGGCCTGCTAAGCTGCTAATGTAGTAGGTAGGTCATATTGATTAGAACCTGATTAATTTACGATAAATTACAATAATCTCATGGTTATCAATTGGACTCTTATTGACTACAACACGGAGAAAACACATAAAATTTGCAATAATCTCTCATGATAACTACCAACTATGTATATTTATGACTAAAGGGATCGGATCGGATCGGTTCGACTTTTCAATTCGATCGACATGATATTTTTAGAGCAAAATAAATCTAAAAATGCTCTTTGACAGTATGTGTAACCAAAAGAACCACCCATTTTATGGTCCCGTGATATATATATTATCACATGATCTCTATTTAATATTATTATGACATGGTCCCGTTCGGACAACTAAATCATGTTTTCAAGCTACACTAAGAGATTATTAATTATAATAAGCATTTAGATAGTAGAAGCTAAATGTGATGTCTCCATATAATAGTTTCGTACAGGTACAAAAGACAAAGCAAACGACAAGTATACGGAGAGACGTACAGACGTAAAAGTCTAATCGGTACTTTAAAATGTTTTAAGTAGTATAGTTCAAATATTGAACAGTTGAAATGATGACCAAAAAAAAAGAACAGTTGAAAAAAAATTGTTTTATTTTAAATTAAGTGAATGAAATATATATATATATATTATTTATTCTAAGTAGTATAGTACTCTCTTTTTTCATAATATAATGGTTAGAGTTGTTTTCAAAATCTGTCACAATCAATTTCTCGTAAAGTACTATAGTAGTGGTGGTTATGCTTATTTTAATCATGGGCATTTTATATATTTATATATGTAAAAAATAATGTCAGCTGTCCTGAATATATATATATATATATATATATATATATATATATTTTGCATTCCCAAAAAAAAATATACAAGCTAGTTACTAGAGGGTTGGGATTATTTCTTTTGTCATCAATTTTAGTTTTGGGTTCGATGTATTTACATGACATAATGGGTTTATCATGCATCGCTATAGAAAATTCTTGTGGATTAATTATCCAACAATAATTACAATACAGATTTTGACCATCCGTGAACCTAAAAGATGCAGAGTGCATGGCAGGTAAGCACCTACTACATTACTTTAATCCATAGTGAAACATTAATCATCACGTTAAGATAACTTAAGTCTGCTTTGTGATAAAACTGAAGTCTCGCTGAGATCATCCATTATGAACCAATCCATATATACGAAATGTGATTTTCAATACTTCATTATGGCATGGAGGATATATCAGTGATCAGATGTCCCATATCAAATGATTCGTAAAGAGTTTTGATAAGTTTTCTTTTTAATAACACGACGACATTTGGAAAGAAGTCATTACGCTGATGAATGAACATAGCTCGAAAAACGGAATTTGGGAAAAATTAAATCAAAAGAATGGGATAATTTTTATTTAAGCTTTGTATAATTTGATGGACAAAGAAGAATATGACGAACACTGCCTTGGTTCAAAGTATGTTACATGCATTTAGTTTGCGGTACATGCATGAACCAACCTTATATGCTACTTATAATAATTATACCAAATAGTATATGCACCAACGAGGGTCTTTTCAAATGTTTGACTTATGTTGTGATAATGCATAAATTATACGAGAATACAAAATTTTCAACTTTTTTTTTTTGGTATACGGGAATTATATAATTTGTGTCATGCGTGAGATAAATCAAAGCCGAACAAAACTCTGCCATTCGAATTGTCATCCCCACATTCGATTGTGCGTGGGTGC